TGGGTGAACGCCTCAAAATTCGGCTCTACCCCGTGCATTTCACATCCGACTACATAGCCAAGGATGTTGAACCAAGAATTAGGGGATAACTGCGAAAGCCCCACCTCGTATCCATCGATGATTTGCTGAACGACTGGGTGAAGGGGAAATCGTAGCCCCACCTTAATGGCCGCCTCGTAGCAGCCAAAACAGGCGTCCCCGTAGCTGGATCCTGCGGGCCAGACGACGGTATCCTCGCCATCCGGCATAAATACTTGATAATCCGGACCCATCGTATGGTCCAAAATAAAAGTGTCTATTTGTTCTTTCATGGCCTTGATCCGGCCCTTTGGTACATGACGGTAATAAGGAGTGTTCAACTCCCTATGAGAGGCGGATGGTTCCGACTAGCGGACCCCCTTTTCAGCTGCATGAGAAGTTCTCGCCTCATGCAAGCGAGCATGCCTTTCCTCTGAGCTTATAGAGAGGCGGCTTGAAGAGCTAGAGTCAGACTTACTATTAGAAGAGTCCGACTCCTCCCCTCTCCCTGAGGGGGCCGACCCCTCTTCTTCTTCAGGGGCCGTCTGCTGACTGGCTAGGTCAACAGTGAAGTGGGAAGGGGCTACCTTAGCTCCCTCCTCAGAGCTCTTGGCAGAAGGGCCGCCTTGGGTCCCTGCGGTATCAGGCGGCTGGTCTGACGTTTCACTAATCGGAACCCGGAAAGAGGAGCCATCAGTGTTTTCTATTCTCTTGGTCTTTTTTGTTCTTGCCATACTGTCCTGCATAGATAGAAAGACAGTTGGATTCCGGGACTTGCGCAAAGTTTGAAGTACCGCAGGGCAGTCAGCACCCCTAGTCCTAGACTCAGCCGTCCCCGGTGACCGGCTGATTGCTAACCTAGGCCGTGTCAGATGCTTTTGAGGTCTCATTTTCAAAAAAGAAAGAAAAAGTGCAAAAGCAAAAAGAATAAAAGAACAGATGGTTACCTGAAACATAAGTTCTGAAGATCTTGATCGAGTAGGCGCCTAGTAAAACAGTCGTCCTGGCAGGTCAAAAGTTGCAAAGTGTCAAAGCTCAAGTTCAGGGGTCCGAGAGTTCTCTTGAAAAAGTTCGCAAATGTGAACAAAAGACTTGGTCAACATGCCTTTATATAGGGCAAAAGAGAATGCAAAGAGTCGCCTCCAAATTCAAAAAATGAGCTGGAAAAATGCTCGGCCCGTCATAAGGCGACACCTGTAGCAGGTCGTCACCTGTTACAGGCCGACACCTGTCACAGGTGACATGTGAACAATCACGTGCCACCTGTGAGGGGCAAATGATTAGGGGATTTTTCCCTACCAATCATCATCTGACAAGTGGACCAATCAGGTCCTGCCATGTGTCCGCCACATGGGCCAATAGGAGCCTGCCACGTGTCAGGCGTTGATCTGTCCACCATGGACTAGTTGTGTCACGCCACGTGGCCTCCATATGCCAAGTAGGCCACCTAGGCCCAATTTCCGAGGGAAGCCCAGTCAGCCCTAGGTTAACCAAAACCTAGGATTTGACACGTTTCCCAAGGTTATAAATACTCTAATTAATCCTCATTAGAGGGGGATTAAGCAAGTAAATTACTCTCACCTAGAGAAAACCTTTACTTTTTCCCGCATTTATTACTCCTAAAACAAGTACTAACTTGACCGTCGGAGGCGGAGCTCCCACCACCCAGAGTCTCCGTTGTTTTGCAGGTACAGGCGCAAGGTTCCAGTCCCGGAATTGTAACTCTCCCGCAGGACATCAGAAAACCCCGAAACACTAAGCAAAGCACGAGTGCAGATTCTACAACTGAAGCCGAATACTTGGCAACTTCTGAAGCAGGTAAGGAGGTAGTTTAGATTCGTAAGTTCGTTGGTGAACTTGATGTTGTGCCCTCAATCAAGGGACCAAAAGATCTTTATTGTGACAACAATGGGGCTATTGCTTAGGCTAGGGAGCCAAGGAAACATCAGAAAGTCAAACATGTCATGAGGCGATTTCACATGATAAGGGAAGGGAAGACCTAGGGTGAAATCAGAATTTGCAAAATTAGAACAGACAACAATGTAGCCGATCCACTCACTAAACCTTTGCCTCACGTGAAACACAACAAGCACGTTTAGGCAATGGGAATTAGGCATTTTGGAGATTGGCTTTGATTTCCCTGTTTATGTGTTTTAATTAAGTTTTGGAGAACTAAATGTAAAACACTAAGTTAACCATTCATTTATGGAGTAATTTTAATTTTACGCAAATTATTATTCCATTTCTATTTAATTGTTGTTTAGAATTAAATAATGAGTCTCGATTTGAGAATATTCAAAATAGGGTATCAAGACAATGTCTTGGATATAGAAACACTTATTACGGTCATTTGAAAGTTGGACGACTAATGACCGCGCGAGATTTTTATAGCACCATTTCTTGTGCTACGATGACAAGAATGTCATAAATCATTTGCATAGGTATTAGTTTAGAACTATATCGAAACACGTATGAGTATACTTTAAGAGATTTAACAATTGTCATAAGTATATTACTCATTATGGCTATCGGAACCTCTTTCCTCAACCATAAGTATTGTAAGTTCTCTTGTGTTGAGTACTAGTCTGTTTTGATGTTGTCAAACGTCTGCCGTACAAGGGGATTATAAAGGCAACACTCAGGCGACTAGGGCCTCTTAGTAAGGGAAGTTGACAATGTAAGACTAAGAATGTCCCCCTATTAACAGTAGGGAACATATCTTTGTTGTTCACAAGGCCTTTCAAAGAGCGAGACTGAAATGCATGGCCATTCTCAGATGGATTTTAGAAATCATCTGCTTATTGACAGTCGAACTCGGAAATCGAGAAACACTTCTAGACGTAATAAGGATGACGAAGAATCTTACCTTATAATTCATGAAGAGGTATTAAGTGACATAGGTAATAGGCTATACACAAACAGCACACTTGTCCGGAAGGACAAGTGGGAGATTGAAAGGAATGGTGTCCTTCGAACAAATGTATTATTCCGATATAGGGTTCGAAATTAATTAGGAAAGCTAATTATTCAGTGAGGTCAAGCGATCGGAATGCCTAGCTGGAGGCCGCTTCCGATCAATAATATTAATGTATGATTAATATTACAGCTTGCTCTTGACTGAACCCTTGGGTCACACCCAATCTTGTAACTGAACCAAGGCGATGAATTAATCCGAAGGATTAAATAAGTCGATAGAGGTTTTACGAACAAATACGTCCGATTCAGAGCTTAGAGCGTCGAAGCCGAGCGTCGAACGTCGAGTCGTTTTAAGAAATTGACAAGACGAGAAAATAAGTCAAATGACAAGTTGTCGGACCTAGCCTCGGATTGGCCTAGCCAACTAAGGACTAGGTCATATCAGCTAACATGGCTGCTAGCCATGTACTAGCCTCGGTGGTAGGCCCAGCAGCCACGCATGTGCGCTGGTCGGGCATGTTGGTCGACCTAGCTAGCTAGCAGCGAGGCCATGCGCGCATTGTTGTGTTGGGTGAGCTAGCAACGCTAGCATCAACCCTCAAGCATGCGAGCAGGCCGATGCTAGCAGCGCTAACACCAGCCCGCAAGCACGCAAGCAGGCCTAGCAGCAGCCCACTAGCTCGCATGGGCTTGCGGCAAGCTAGCTGGCCCAGCCGAGGGCAAGGCCGCCAGCTAGGCGAGCCTTGAGGCCCAAGGCATGTGGTCGGTCTTCCCCTTGTTGACCATGGTGAGTTGGCTTTTGCTTGCTCTCCAAGGGAAGGGCTAGTGGTCCTTACATAACCCCTCCCATGCATTGTCACTTGTCATTTGCTTGTTACTTATACCATTTAATTTAATTTAGAATTAAATTAATTCATTCACTTTCTCATATCACCAAGACTCCTACATGGAAAGTTGATGGAAACTCTTGGGAGAATTTCACTATAAATACCTATCTTGGGTAATGGGATTACTCACTTGAGTAGAACTCAAAAGGAATCTCCCAAAGAGTGAGAAAGCCTTAAGTTCGTAAAACTCTAGCAATTTTGGTCTAGCCCCGTCTAAGCTATGTGGTAGGGGCCGGTTCGGTGTTCGAGGGTGTAAGACGTTGGAGGTCTTGCATTTGCGAGGCTTGAAGTTTTCCAAGTCCGAGCTCGAGTTACGAGCGAAGCACTCGTCAAGGGTGAGCTTCTTTCTCTCATTTCTCTTTATGTGTTTATGCTTTCTTTAATTGCATGCTATTTTGTTATGTTATAATTATTATGCATGCGATCCATTATGCGAGTTTTGTTTCCGCGCAAACCCAACAGATTTAACACGACTTGAACTCGACCCAATACCGATTTGACCCTATATGAACTTAAACCGAACTAGTTTGATCCGACCTGAACTGAATCCGGACTGAAATTGACCCGACAAATACCCGATTCTATCCGATTTATTTTTTATCCGAACTAATGTTAACCCAACCTGATTTTCACTTGACATTATTTCAAACCCACCATAAATTTAAACCCAACCTATTCTTTACCTTTAAAAAAAAAATTAAACATATATTAATGACACGATATGGAAATATTAGGTCAATCCAACCAAAATTTAGCCAAACACAAAAAGTATTTAAATCAAAATTGACTGAATACTAAATCAACCTTAGTATTCAAATCAAATGTAGCAGAACCGAAAATCAACTGAACCGGAACCAACCTGATACAAATTCATCAACGCGAAAATAACCCGGTCAAACCCGTTTTTGAACCCAATTCGAATTTATCCGAACCGAATATGAACCAATTTGAAGTTAAACCGACTCAAACCTGATCTAGACTTGACATAACTTTATTTGAATTTGATCTGACTCCAACGTGACCCGTTCCGACCCGAGGCGGGTTACAAGGGTAATTTTGAACCGAATATACCCGATCCGAACAGACCCGACCTGAACGGAGTCGAGCCAAATTCCATCCGATTATCCGAATTGACACCTATAATTGTTTTACATAATGTGCATGTTAAAATAAACTACTGAGGGTGAGATTTGTTTCTATCTAGTTAACAAAACAAAAATATAGGGTATTGATTTAAATTCCCCATTTTCAACAAATAATGAAACAAATTCCTTTTAATTTTTGTATCTTTTTTTTTTTTTTTTTAATATGGAGCATGAACCAAACAGCCTTGAACCTATTTCATTCCCAGATTGATTTAAGGGACCGCACACATCGTGGCGATCAAGAAGCAGAAAAAAGCAAATGAAAGTATAATAAACATCAACACACAAAACGATCCGTTCCGTTACAGGGACATGACGAGCAACAAAAGAGTGAATCCGTCCTTTTCAATTTTCAAGTGAGAGAGAGAGTAATCAGAGAGTATGCTTAAATCGACTACGCGTACTCCCGTAAAAGAATTAAAGCACACCCTTAACCAAAAGCAAACCGATACAGACAAATTGCGAGGCTGACGGAAATAAAGTCTGTCTATTTGTCTATCTCACCCTCCCAACCAAAAAAAAAAAGAAAAAAACTTTTTTTTTTTTTAATTTTTTTTTTGACGGGACTCAAAATCCTTCGCCCCAGGTGTGAGTAGACAAATAAATAAAAATATTTAAATTACATCGTCTTCCCGTTGCTTTGCTCCTTCCTTGTTTTTTTTTTCTCTTTTTTTTTTTTTTGCTTTTCTCTTTCTCACTGTCCGTTGGAACACTCTACCCCAATATCACCACCTCCTACTTTCTCTACCATCTCTTTTTTTCTTTGATTTTCTCTGAAAAATGCAATAGTGGAATCACAAAGGGGAGAGAGAAGGGGAATTTAATTCGGGCATGAATCCCGTAACGGCTGAGCAATTACCGCCGCCGCCACAACCACCGCAGCACCACCTGAAGTCCACCAGTTGCGATCGTCATCCCGATGAGCAGTTCACTGGGTTCTGCCCCTCTTGTCTTTGCGAGCGTTTAGCGGTGTTAGACAAATCATCCGCAGCAACCGCCTCTACTGGCCGTAAATCCGCCTCTTCTGCACTCAAATCACTGTTTAAATCTAGCAACGATAGTGGGCCCGCATTACGAGGTAGGCCGAGTTCGAGTTCTTTTTTACCGGAGCTGCGACGGACTAAGTCGTTTTCCGGGGGAAAGAACGAGGGAGGGTTTCTCGGATTGTCCGGTGCTTTCGAGCCGCAGCGTAAGTCGTGCGACGTTCGAGGTAGGAGTACGCTTTTCTCTCTCTTCTCTCAGGATGATGGGAATGGGAATGGGAAGCGCGGTACACAAGGCCAAGGGCATCATCCTGTAATAAATGAGCCTTCGACTTCATCCGCGGTGATTGAATTGAAGGCGGAGGTTGGAGATCACGTGGTAGCCGAGGAGGAAGGAGAAGGAGAAGAACAGGAGGAATTCCATGAAAGCATTGATAATGGGGATGAAATCCAGGTTATTGAGGAGGAAATTGTTGAGTGTAATGATGATTATGATAATAATAATAATAATAATAATAATAATAATAATAATAATAATAATAATAATAATAATAATAATAATAATAATAACAACAGTGTGGATAATAATTTGAGGGATTACTCATCGGGGGAGCAGGTGCTGGGTGGAAATTTTCATGGGCAGACGGTGGAATTGAAGCCAATGAAAGACCATATCGATCTAGATTCACAAAATAAGAAGGTGGGTAGCAAAGATTTCAAGGAAATTGCCGGTAGTTTTTGGTCTGCGGCCTCGGTTTTTAGTAAGAAATTGAGGTCTTGGACAAGGAAGAACAATAATCAGAAAATTAAAAAGCATATGAGTGGGTCTCATACTGTTCAAGTGAGTGGTAAAAAGGGCAATGCTGGGAGGAATTACAGAGATACTCAGTCTGAAATTGCTGATTATGGGTTTGGGAGGAGATCTTGTGATACTGATCCTAGGTTTTCTCTTGATGCTGGGAGGTTTTCTGTTGACGCCGCGACTGCTGGGAGATTTTCCGTTGATGCTGGTAGAGTTTCATTTGATGATCTCAGGTGTTCGTTTGATGAGCCTAGGGCTTCTTGGGATGGTTATTTGACTGGTAGGACTTTCCCGAGGATGATACCGCCTATGGTTTCAGTGGTGGAGGATGCACCAGTAACGGTGTTGAGGAAAGATACTCAGATTCCGGTAGAGGAACCGAGGAGGAGTTCTGTTTCGATTAATGGTGATGACCCTTTCCCTGGTGGAGCTTCTCAGACGAAGGATTATTACTCTGATTCGTCCTCACGGAGGAGGAAGAGTCTTGATAGGTCTAGTTCTATTAGGAAGACGGCGGCTGCTGTTGTTGCTGAAATGGATGAGATGAAGAATGACTGCACTAACAAGATCTCCCCTCCTTGTGCAGACTATTTAAATGGAACCAAAGTTGTTGCTGGTTTTGGTGGTGATAGGGATTTTAGGGGCTTAGATTTGTTGAATTCTAATTCTAATTCGCTTAGAGATGATTATTCTGAGAGCTTTGATATGGGATTTAGGGATAATGCCTCTGTGATAGGTAGCACCTGCGACAGAAAGGGATCAAAGAAGTCTAGTAGATGGAGGGCGTGGAACATTTGGGGTTTGATTTATCGACGAGGCAATAACAAAGGTGAGGATGATGATAGATACAGTAGGTCAATACCAAATGGGGTGGAACGATCGTACTCGGAGTCTTGGCATGGTGATCCAAGGGCTGGTTTTAGTAGAAATGTGTTTCGCAGTAATAGCAGTGTCAGTTGGAGGAACTCGTATAACGTAGGGGGTGCAGCATCAATTGGAAGCATTAAGAAGGGTGGTATAATTGATTCCAACAGTCACAACAAAAAGAAAAAGGATGAGTTTGTATTAGAAAGGAATCGGAGTGCAAGGTACTCTCCAAGTCATACTGATAACGGGATGTTACGTTTCTATTTGACACCAATGAGAGGCAGCAGAAGGGGCAGCTCAGGGAAACCAAAGCCAGCTTATTCACATTCCTTCGCAAGGAGTGTGTTGCGATTCTATTAAACCCGAATCTCTCCAGTTTCATCTGATGTTCCTTTTGATTAATGTCTAAATATTTTGAATTTGTGTACAAGCGTTGGATCCAAACCTCTGTTTCCTTTGTGGTTGATATTATAAAAGGTACCCTTGCATTAAAGTTTTACATTCAGCATTCTCTGATCAATGAGTAAAACCTTTACATTGTTTTCTTTCCTTTAGTAATGTAGTTTAATTTCCCTGATTAATCATAGTAGCAGGATTGATAACTGAAAAGTTCCTTCCTGAATCATTAATCTTATAATAAGCATCCGTCAGAAGAAGCTTAATTCTGTCCACCTTATTTGATGAAATTTCTGCTCATTCCATTAATTATGGTAGATTCTCTGATGTTCATGACAGATTGCACTGTCCTTTTGTGACACTGTTATTATACACTCCTATATTATGTCAACAAAAGTTCTTCCATTCCTCAATTGATTACTCAAAACAATGTCTGCCTGAGTTATATTCTTCTAAATAATTACTGTAAAATCAATTGAATCTGATCATGTCAGAAGCTAACCACTGCTCCCATATTCCATAATTTCAGTTCTCTGTGGCTTCAAATGCTTGTTTTGAAGCCTTGCCGGAATCTTAGTTTTGTTCAGATTCTTTGTGACCTTGACCTATTCCTATATGTAGCTCATGCTGACCTTGTGTCGTGTACACGTACTCATTCTTTATATGTTCGAGTTAGCTGCATTGTAGATGAATAAGTCAAATGTTTATATCGTGATTGGTAAATAATCTGCAAGTATTTCGTCTCTAGTTTGATACTGAACAATTGATCTTGTAATGCATTAGTTTGGTAATTATAGCTTTGTAGATCTCGTTGAAATCTATATTTTGCGATAATAATTTCAATTTCATACAAATGTGTTGGGAGTCAAAGTGTTGTTAGTCTGTGTCTAATATGATATAATGAAGCATATTATGTTTATTGATTCTGATCAAACTCTAAAGTATGCGTTTTGGATGGAAGGTTGGTAGAGGGCAGTGATAATAGATGAAGCTAATACACCCGTGTCTGCAAAAGAGTCTGTAGAAAAATATTGGTACAAAGACCTTACCATATAATAACATACAGGGGCCAGTACCACTTATGCGGTTCCCAAATGATGAGCATGAGGGAATATATTTTTGGTTGTTTCTGTTAGTTTTATTATTAAAAATGGGTACTCCTTTCCTTATCACGGAATAACTATAAATGTTACAACTAAATCAAGGCGAACGCAATTTGTAATAATTTATCTTAAATATCAATTCACACATATATATTTTATCTTACTAAATGAAATTATGAGTTTGCTAAAGAAAATTGAGATGTTATTGCTTGAAGCTCCAACGGAATAATTTAGCGTCAAAAGCTTTTACTCCCTCTTATCTTTTTATTTGCATTACTTGATGTTGCAAAGTGTTTGATGAGAACTTATTTAATGGAATATTATATTTGGAAAGTAAAGTAAGTAATTGATTAGTTTCTTAACTTCTTTCAATAAGAATACAATGGGGATCATAGAAGAGACATTATGTGAGACAGTAGTTTTTTTTGTACTATTGAAGAGAGAGAATTGATAAAATATTCTGAGTAGATTTTAGGGAAAAGGAAAATAAAAATACATCATATAAATGATGCAAATAAAAAAACACCCAAAAATCTATATGGAGGGAATACACCCTATTTTTTTTTTTTTTTTTTTTTTTTTTGCACCTTCACATAGCACATACTACCTCCTCTTCCCGGTTAGGTGAGACAAATCTCACATGGATTCCTTATTAACGTGATAACTAAATCTAGGAGAAGTCAATCCACAATAACTTATCATATATTACCAATTGAAAACATTGGTGTTTAATTCCTTTTTAACGTGATAACTAAATCTAGGTGGAGTTAATCTACAATAGTTATATCTAACCATAAATAATAAAATAACTAAATCTAAGCCGAGTCAATCTACAATAATCATATCTAACCATAAGTAATAAAATTACAAAATGTGATTTTTGGTTAAATGCCTGGTGGAATAATTTTGTATCTAGAATATTTAATTCTAAATATATTAATTTCTAGTTCATGTTATCCATATTTCTAACTACACCCCTTTTGTTTAGTCGGAATAACTCAAGTGGGATGTATTAGTGGTTAGATTATTCAATTAAAAATGTAATAGGATTAGTAGTTTGTATGCAACTTTTGACCCCCAAAATTAAATGGGGATAGATGAATAATGTTCACACGGAAAGCGCTTGATTGCCCAAATCCCGTGGGAAAAATGGGATCAAACTAAGCAAAACGGCAATGATTAAATCCTAAATGAGTGCTGCTTTAGCCTATTGGGAAATCAAAATACTTGATTGTCTTAAGCTGAATGAATATATTTTGAGATCATTTCATTATCCTTTTTTTCCTTGTGGTAAAAAAAAAAAAAATATAATAAAATGAAAAAGAAAAGGCTTAGTGATCAACCAGAAAATTTTGCCTTAAAAGTCAAAAAGTAGGAAGAAACAACTCAAAAACATGCTCTTTCATGGGTTGGATAAAAAGAAATAAAGAGCAAAAAATAAAAAGAAGAAAAGAGATAAAGACTAAAGAGGGCTCTTTAACCGATGGGCATCTAGAACTAGACTTCACTCACTGCTTTAAAAAAGATAACTTATACTCGTTCGAAGTACTGTAGTTATTACAAAAAAAATATTTTGGTTAAAATTTATATTTTTTCGATTTATCATGTCTTTCAACTAGTTTTTAGGCATGAGTGATGCCTTGAGTTTTTTTGCATTATTTCTGTGATAAAAATATTATTCAATATTTAGTTTTAATCAAATGTCATGTAGTATGGTAATAACTTAGTGGCTAACATGTTAGATCTTTAAATTTAAGGTTATGGTCATTATGGGTTCAAATCTTGTAAGAACCATATTTCTAAACATAAAGTGAAAAAACTCGATTAAATAAGTAGAGTGCCACATGACACTTAAACTTATTTGAAAATGCCTTTTAATATATTGTATAGAAGATTATACTTTGTACTATGAGTAACCTACCCCTTATCTATCAAGGTAACCACATTTGATCATCATCATAATTACTATAATGATAACAATAATAAAAATAATTAATAAAAATATAAAATTATTTAAAATAATGCTATCAATAATAATAATAATAATAATAATAATAATAATAATAATAATAATAATTGACACCACGCATAACATTATTATTTAGTATTAAACTATTTAACTAATAAATGATATTTAATAATGAAAAAATTATTATTAATCATAATAATAATAATAATAATAATAATAATAATAATAATAATAATAATAATAGCAGCAGCACCAGCAACACCACCAGCAGCAGCACCAACAGCAGCAGCAGCAGTAGTAGTAGTAATAATAATGATGATGATGATGATGATATCAATAATAAAAATTATTAATAAATTTTAGCGTGTGGCATAGCGTTATTATTCTTTCATATTTTGTTCAAGAGTTTTTACAGGGGAAATTTTCGGTGATCACGCGGTGTCGTGTGCTGGTGTGGTGGGTATTAAATATCGGCATAATGTTGTTCGGCATACCCTTGTTGATGTTTGTTATCGATCTGGGATTTCAGCTAGAAGGAGGTTGACATTGGATTGTCTGGAGGGAACGACGGGGCCCTCAGACCTGTAGATGTGTTACTTTATTTTTGGGATCGTGGTTATGATGTATGTGTTGACTTGACATGGTCTTCTCCTTTGACGCAGTTTGGGTTATCTGATTTTGTTCCTGCACGTGTTGTGGTTGATGCGGCTCATCGGAAACTGGTAAAGTACGAATCTAGTTGTCGGGCAATTAGATATGACTTCCTTCCTTTCTCTTTCTCTTCTTTTGAGGAATTAGAGAAGGAGGCGGTTGCATTCCTAAAGCGGATCCAGAATTTCTCGAACACTATAGACATTGGGGCACGTGCTGCTGCTCATATCTTCACTAGGATAAGATTTGCTATAGCTAGAGGAGTGGGGGCCCAGATTGTATCTTGGCTTCCCATTAATTTATTGTAAATTGTATGAATTTGTCTGTTTTTGAGATATAATAATAATAATAATAATAATAATAATAATAATAATTTCATACGTTTTCTCTCGTTTAGGGCGAATAGGGCAGGGTTGGGTAGGGTTCCACGTCAATTTTCCGGCGATTCAGGCAGCTTTTTTGGCGTGATCAGGTACTCGGTGGTTATGCTTTTAGGTCAGGTGATTTTTAGGTGATTTGGGTGCAGTTTCTAGGCGAAATTCAAGTGGTATTGGGCTTTTTGGTGCAGTCTTGAAGTACGTTTTTAAGGCGTTTTATCGGCGGCTTTCAGGCTTCTTTCCGGTGGTTTTCTGGCGACGATTTGTCTGGACATATTGGCTTCATTTTTGGGTTGTTTTCAAGCGTTTTGTGGTCGTGTTTTGGGCTGTTTTGGGTGAGTTTCAGGCCGATATTCTGGTCGATTTATAGGCAGGTTTCTGCTCGGGTTTTCAAGCTATTTTATGGTTGATTTTCTGCCAGCGTCTATTCAGTTTCTCGAGGTTCGGCAGCGTTGTTTCAGGCAACGGTGAGGTAAATTCTCTGGTAACGTTTGTGTTCTTTTTCAGCCGCTTTCTTCTATTGTTTTCGGCGACGTTACGTGTTAATTTTAGACGTATTTTGGGGGTGTTTTTTAGGCGTTTATTTCTGCTATTTATCAAGGATTTTGGGTGTATTTTTGTTAAAGTTTTGGTTGTAATTTTGGTGCAATTGGGTGCTGTTTTCAGGGAGCAGGTTTTCTAGTGTGTTAGCCTTTGGGCAGTTTGCTGGTTTTTGTGTCTTGGTCTTATTGGTGTTTCATGCGGCTGGTTTTTGCTGTAGTTTTGGTGGTTGTGTGTAGCTATGTCTACTGCCGTAGTGAAATTTCATTGTCTATTTGTGGGTCTTAGTGGTTGTCAAGATGAAAGTGGAAATGGCCTTACTAGAAGTTCTCTTGTCAAGCATCTTTCTGATCGTCATTATTGTATTGGTGCGCGTGATATCACACGACATTCTCTTACTTCTAATTTGGTTGTTTATAATGAGGCCGAAGTTATTTTTTCGTGTATGGGGATTTGTATATGTGGAGTTTTCTACAAAACGCATACGCATTGTACTAAGTGTCGTCATATTACGGGTGAGATTGTGTCACCCTCGGATGAAGGAGATGGTATTGTTTATTTTGTGCTTCATGGTTTCTCCAAGCCGCAAGCCCCTTTT